ATCAAACTCGAACAATATTTTCAAACTGCAAATTTGGCTTCAAGATGAACTGAATTTAAAACTCACGTAAATATCAGGACAACTACTATACTGCGGGGTTGAGAGCACTGTGACGTGACTTAGAGAACCACTCGTTTAAGATGAAAATTTTAGACTGACTTGTACGGAGCACCACTTCTCAATTTGAGACTTATAATATTGACGACTACATTTTCTTGACTGACTTGCTGTTCATGGTCTGGTCCTTTTTATACAAAAATTTGCCTATGCATTTAGAAATTGTTCACTAAGCCCATGTATTTGAGGATCGTTCACTAAGCCATGCATTTTTGGGAAACCATTGTTACTGGAACACTTGCATTGACTCATCTATTAGATCGCCTCAATGTTGCTGGAATGTTCCCAACATTACGTGCTACTGGGGTATTTATAGTTACTATTTATAATAATATGTAAATAACAATCTTTGTTACTAACTTTGGATATACTTCCGAATATAAGGGGGACCTCCGATTTCAATGAAAATTGGTATACCAACGTTTTTTGATGCGCTGATTACGAAAATGATAATGAAATTTGGTTACGGTGACGTAACAGAATTTAAAAATTAAAGATAAAAATATGATAGTATAAATTTCATTGTTTCACCAGACTATTTTTGCAAGGAATCGTCGAGCTTTGTAATTTTTGAAAAGAAATTCGCGACAGGGTACCGGATTCGGTTGCTTATTAGTTTTTGCCGGAACGTAAGATTAAATTCAGAATTGCGACCTTTTCATCGCCGAACAATGGGTCTCATGATTGGCCCAACTGGGCCCTTAGAATTAGAACTTGAAATTCGCATTGCTAACCAAGCAGCTGCAGATTTACCATAATGCATCTATTTCTCTTTTTTCCGATTCGTTTTTAAATCTTTATTTTACCTTTTCGTTTCGTACCACAATTTTTGATTTTACCAAATAGGAATCCCCCCCCAGTAATTATTATTCACTTCCATCTATTTTTGTTCACGTCACTCTCATGCTATAAAAAAATGATTTACAATTCGCGTAGGCATTGTCTGCGGTTTTTCCTTTGATAGTTTCAAGTTTTACCATTTTTATTATACTTGAAATTTTCTTTAGACTTTATGACTATGTAATTCTGTATTAAAAATCGTGTCATCGATATAAATACCTATAAAAATAAAAAAGCTGAATCAAAGAGAAATGATAGAGGTTTTCAAACGGTTTTTCGAATATTTTTAGATGTTTTTAATTTTTTGCATGCTTTATGCATTTTTATTTATTATTAGCAGGAGAATGTTGAGAGCTCTCTTTTTCTGGGGATTAATAGAAAGAAACCAGTTTCAATAACGAAGAATGCAAACGGGAATATCTTGGAGTCCAGTTAACCTTTTCTCGTCCTACACATGCTAATGCGAAGACCAGGTGCGGGTATCACATGCAAAAGCATAGCGCCAGTGTCGTCACTCGTCGAGAAGGTCACCAATGGTTGATCTATCGAGAGCGATAATTACGATGATGATAATAATGGGCGAAGGCGAGACTTTTAGACCTTTTTCAACACCTGCCGTATGAAAGTTATTCAACATTTAGACATAACTTACAAAAAACCAGAACCTACCTCTAATTATAAATTAACAAACATTAGGCAAAATTAACCGATTTCTAATATTTTTGAACCCCCAATTGGAATGTTGGTAAAATTTTGTTAATTTCCCCCTTTTTGTGAAAGTAGCTGAACGTTAAAGATTCCAATGATCCAGAAATGAGAAAAGTTGATCTTTGTATGAAAAATGTCAAGGTTTCTGGGGGAAAAAAAAGGTCACGTAACGAGAGATGATAGTGTACCTACTCATCATATGGAATGCTTGTACTGATTGGTTTAGGAATCACGAGGAGAATCTCGCGTTGCATATTTTTGAGAACCGAGTATAATGCAGAATGTGTAAAAGTTTTGAGAGCGTAAGTGTGGTGCGCGACTATCGAGTAGGTGGCTAACCTTGACAACCACTCTCGCGCAAAACGAGAACTATCCTCGATGCACCTACACCAACACACGAAAAAGGCAACCTGCGCAGTATCGCACATCTTCCCCGGTTATAACGCCAATCTTTCAGTCTGCACTCCACCAACAAAAAAAAAACCCTCCCACACGGAGAAAAAAATCAGGGCTTTTTAGCATGGAGTGGTCTGTACCTTTAGCGCATGGGCGCTTTCTTACGGCGAAAGAACGAATTTGTACGATTGCAGCAAGAGCTCGCCCTATTTTAGTAAGGAGCCTTGCTGCAATCGTACGAGTTCGTTCTTTCGCCGCAAGGAAGCGCCCATGCGCTAAAGGTACAGACCACTCCATGCTACAAAGCCCTGATTTTTTTCTCCGTGCAAAAACAGTTTTTGTGTTATACCTTCTGTTCATGAATATCATTCATGTGGTTGTGCTCTTTCAGATCCCTATAATGCTAGTCGTGTAGGCGCCCCTCATGGTACTACATAATTTGTCTGTTCTAAGAATTTTCTTTGGCATTTGGCCCAAATCTTCAATTCCAAAAACATTTATTTACTTTTGCAAAATTCAATTCCCAGTTGATTTTGCATTAACCATTTTTATCTTCTGGGGTGTTAGAAGAGATTGCAGTCCCGATGGATCTCGAGCCTTTCGATGGTTTATGGGTCCCGCATGAGAAAATGTCAAAGAATTTCAGTTACAATTTTAGTTTCAGTTTACCCGAATTCATTTGATATTGATTTAATTCTTCCGAACAATAATATAATAAGGATACCTTGTAAGCTTATAACTCATGTTGGTTGTTGCGTGTTCCTTGCTCTTAATACTCTTCACATGTTTATTTTTTTCCTCTAATGAATTTGAGATCAGTTTGAATAAACTATTGCAAGATAAAAATAATGCTCATCAACAGAGAGAGATTAAGGAAGCTGCTAAGCTGCTAATATTGCTGCTAACCGAAATTTATAACTGAAACAATAATTTTAGTACCCAAAGTGAATAATAGAACCCAGACCAAGTAATTAATATCACCAAGTTCGTCATAACTGGAGACATGAAAAATGGGTTGATATTTTTTTGATGAGATCGGTGATCTTTTTACGCCTTGTTTCTTCTCGAAGATGCTCCACGTGAGATCAGTCAATAACCCCATTTCGTATATAGGGACAATGAAAAGTTAATGGCTCTACTAAACCGATTATGTTGTCTGGCTCTCTCAAGCAATGCGTCTTCGTAAATCTTTTTATTAATTTATCGAGTGTATCACCGAAAACTCATTTTCGTTCTCTATCGAATACTTTATAATGGATGTAGGATGTGATATGCCCATAATCCCAGATCTATGATTTTCTGCAAAATTGCATTTGACTACTTTCGATGTGACCCTCATTTAGACGGTCTAAAAATGCGTCATTTTTGGGATTTTTTTTCTCGGGTTAAATAACTCCAAACGTTTTGTAATTTATAGGGTAGTTTAATACATGTCTTAACAGTCTAAAAAAATTTTTTGGAGAAAAAATAAATCATTTTTAGTACATAGAAATAAATAATGTGTCTATAGCACCTCAGTTTATCTGTGTACATTCTAATCTAGAGAAATTAAAATTTCTAGGCTAGCTTAATTTCTTAATCTAGAATCAGAATTTCAAAATTAAAAATGACGAATCCAATATGGTGGTCAAAAATGTTGAGAATTCATTAAATTTTAACTGCATTTTTGTAATACAAATTTTTTGGGGTACCTCATTTTGAATCTAAAGTTAGACTTTCAAAACTCAAAATGACAAATCTAATATAGTGGACCAAAAGTTTTTAAATTTATAAAATTTGACTATATTTTTTAAGAGAAAGAGGGGGGGAAGGTTTCTAAGGTCGCTGATTACGAATCTGATGTTAGATTTTTAAAATTCAAAATGGCGGTTCCAATATGGCGGACAAATTTTTTAAAATTCATCGAAATCGATTTAAAATTGTCGCTCAGGGGATTTTGGTGTCACTGATCACCAATCTTAAGTTAGATTTGAAAAATTCAAAATGGCGGATCCAATATGGCTGACGAATTCTTAAGAATTGATCGAAATCGCTTAAAAATCACTGCTCGGGGGTTTTCGGGGTCACTGATTATAAATCTGATGTTAGATTTTAAAAAATCAAAATGGCGGATCCAATATGGCAGACGAATTTTTAAGAATTGATCGAAATCGCTTGAAAATCTTTGCTCGGGGGTTTTCAGGGTCGCTGATTACGAATCTGATGTTAGATTTTAAAAATTCAAAATGGCGGATCCAACATGGTAGACGAATTTTTAAGAATTGATCGAAATTGCTTAAAAATCGTTGCTCGGGGGTTTTTGGGGTCGCTGATTACGAATCTGATGTTAGATTTTAAAAATTCAAAATGGCGGATCTAATATGGCGGACGAATTTAATAAAATTGATGGAAATCGATTAAAAATCGTTGCTCGGGAGTTTTTGGGGGCTCTGATTATAAATTCCATGTTACTTTTTGAAAATTCAAAATGGCGAATCCAATATGGCGGACGAATTTTTTAAGAATTGATCGAAATCACTTGAAAATCATTACTCGGGGGTTTTTGCGGTCGCTGATTACGAATTTGAAGTTAGATTTTTAAAATTCAAAATGGCGGATGAATTTTTAAGAATTGATCGACAACGCTTGAATGGATTCCCATAAGCATTTTTTTAAAATTAGTTTTTTAATGTAATGCATGTCGCAAAGGATTTAAGAGATTGATAGACGAATAAATTTTAAAAAAATTGAAAAAAAGGAATGGAAATTTTCGGGTGATTTTTGGGGGGTGCGAAACATAAGAAATTGAGATGTGTATTGTTTTTGGCATTGCCGAGTGTAATCGCTCGATATATAACGCAATGTGAGCTTTAATGTAGACTTTCCCCTTCTTGTTTGGCGCGCATTCGTGTCTCCCTTCTACTGTGTGCTTCGAATCCTATCTTTCTTGAAACTCATACGCGGAGCGTGCAACACTAGGCCGGCCGGCGCGACGATCAGTTGCTCAGTTGCCTGCAGAACTGCGCATCGCAGTCAGTTATTCATTCATTCAGTTTAGTGAGTTAGTCAGTCAGTCGGTGAGTGAGTGAGTGCGAATATTATTATACGTCGCGTGCAGTTCTCGTTCACCATCATCTCCGAGTGCAATTTCAGTGCATTAATTTCCATATTCCCTTATCCCATTGGATTAATTTTATATTTATCAGCAAAAGAATTTTTTTTCTCCTTTTCTAACTCAGCTTTTTGTTTTGAAAAATTCGCAAAAATTTTTTTTCTTCTGTCAAATAATTCTTGTTGTCATCAAAATTACAAAACTTGCACTCGAAATTTTTTTTATAAATTTTGCAAACTTAACGGGAATTTTAAAATTTTCAGAACATTTTTAGAAGTTTTTTAAAATTCATTTTATGTTTTAACTTGAATAAAAGTGGATTATTTTTCTACTTGAAAAAATTATTTTAAGTGCAAACACAAGAGGAATGGAAATAATTCTAATTGAAAGATATACACGTCTTCCTGTTTTGTCAAGGCCCCGTTAATGACTATTACTCGCGAAAGTAATATCCGCGTGTGATCATCATTTTCTTTTAAAAAGAAAAAAGTACTTTCACTTTTTTTTTTTTTTTTTAATCTTGAAAAAGTGAGGCAAATTTTTTTAAAAATGTTAAATTTCGGACAGAATTCGATTGTCAGTGTTTTTTTTTAAATTGTAAAAAGAAAAGGAAAAAAATAAGTCCATCTTTCTTCGGCTTTCGATAAATGCGCGCGTCTGACCTTGAAACCTCATCGAACCCGAACGATTAACAAACGAGCTAGTTGCGACCTTCTGCAGTCTGCACTCACCAATTGATAAAAATAACAGCACTTACGGTATTATATTCGCTGCAGTCATAATAGCAATAAACTGTCCTTATACTAACCCCCCCCCTCCCCCCTACACTTATTCATGTGTTTTTCTCCTTTTCTGTCTCGCTCTCTTTTTTCTAAACAAAAAGAAAAATATTAAAATTAGTTCACAGTTTTTTCTTCACTTATTTGTTAATTAAAAAATTTATCAAAAAAAAAAAAAAAAATTAGTTCGCAGTGTTTTTTTCACTTATTTGTTAAATTAAAAAATTTATCAAAAAACAAAAGTATTATTATTATTATTATTTCGCATTGTTTTCTTCACTTATTTGTTAATTAAAAAATTTATCAAAATTAACTTTTTTTTGCTATTTTATAAGTAACAAATAAAACAAATTTTTTTCTCTGCAATTTTTACTATTTTTAAAAATTTTCAAGTTTAGAAAAATACTTTGAAGTGAATTTCGGTGAAAAATTATTGCGTTTGACCGATTGACAGAAAAAAAAGTGTTTATTTAATCGGGTTATTAATATTTGACGGAATAAAATTTTTAAAAATTGATGTCACCGATTTTTTTTTTAATTGTGATCATAAAAATTTGACAAGTGAAGAAAAAATAAAAAAATTAAGAGTAAATTTGGAATTCGGTGAAATTGAAAAATAGTGCATTTGAGAAAAATAAAAATTCGATCAAAAATGGAAAATTTATCGTTTAAATATAAAAATTGTAAAGCGGGAATTTTTGTAAATTAATTATAAAAAAAAATTGGTCAGATGGGAATTTCGGTAAAAATAGTGACAGGGTCAACAAAAATTGAAAACAAATTTAAGAAAATTAATTTTGAAAGTGGAATTGAAAATTGAAAATTAAATTTGAAACATTTTAAACTTACATATATGATAAAATTATTTTTAAAAAACGGCAAATTAAAATTCGGTGAATTTAAAATTCAGTTCAAGGAAAATTCGCGTTCACAAAAGCTTATTTCGTTCAAGTGTAGACTAAATTTATTTTCTTGCAAATTATAAATTCAAAAAAAAGAATTTTTAAATTTAATTTTGAATTTTTTTTCATTTTTTTTTTTTTACTGTTTCTTTCATTTTTACTATAAATTCTGTTACCGACAAGTAAAAAGTTAGATCAGAGAGAAATTCGGTGTACTAAAAATTTTTGAATAGGAAAATAAAAGTTAATTCACTCTTCTTTAAAAAAAAAAAAAAAAAAAAAAAAAAAAAAAAAAAAAAAAAATCAAGAGAAGAAGTTTTAAACTCTAAGAATTAAAATTCAAAAATACTCATTTCGATGTTATAAAAATACGGTCACTTTTAAATTTAACCAAATTGAAAATTCAGTCAAAAAAAAAATTGTTGCGGATTTACTCTTCTTTAAAAAAAAAAAAAAAAAATTGGTAAGAGAAAAATTAAAAAAAGCAAAATACAATAATAAAAATAAGGTGATTAGAATAAATATTTGCTGTTTTGCAACTTGAGACCTTTTTTATTAAAAAAAAAGAAATTTTTTTTTTTTTTTTTTAAAGAAAAATGAATGCGAATCAGTTAATATTTGAGATTCGCGGGAATCCCCCCGGTGTTTATAGGGAATGAGAGTAAGAAATTTAGATGTAATTTAGTCACACGATCTAAATATAAGATTTGCATAAAGAGTGCGTGGACAATAGAATTTCATTAGCTTCTAACACGCAGAACTGTCAACTGGTGTTAAAGACCGGAATGACCTCGACATTGACCTTAGAAAATGTCGATTCTAATAATATACAATAATAGTCCAATTTTTTCCCCTTATCCTTAAGAAAAAAAAAATAATTACACCTCAAAAAAAGGAAAACTAATTGTTTAGAAAATTGATTGTCATAAGAGAATAAATATAATAACCGAAAAGTTCAAAAAAATAATTTTACTATTTAAAATTTAGAAATACACTTTTATAATTAATTAATTATGTTGAAATAAATAAAACTAAAATGAAAAAATTTTAAAGATTTTTCATCTTAGTTGAAATTAAAAAAAAAATTTTTTACTTTTTAAAATATTTTCTAACTTGAAAATTAAAACAAGATTTAAAAAAAAAAATTTCAACTAAAGGAGAAAAAAGGAGAGAATATGCATGATTTTAGGTTTTTTTTAGAGAATTAATTAATTTAAGGGGATAAAAAAGAGGAAAAATGGAAATAAAGGTGTGTACACACTGTGATCCCTAAAAAAAAGTGAAAGTTAAAAACGAGGAAAAAAAGTGGAATTTTTTGGAGTCATTTTGAAAAGTAAAAATTTTCAAGTATGAGAAGAAGTTTAGTTATCACGACACCCAGTAGGTGCATCGATCCGTTTTCTGCTCTGCAATGGGTCAGCACTGGCCTTGACAATACCCTTGAGATTCAGACTCGAGTTTTACTAGCAATTGTCTGTCGCAGCTTAAAATTTTAATTTCCTTCATTTTTAAACACTTTTATATTTTAGTATTTTCGTTATTTTTTTTCTCTCTTATTCTTCTCTTTTTTTAAACACTGAGACTCGTAAATTTATGCACTTGAAAATTTATTTTTCTTCTCTTTTATTTAATTTAAGAAAAAATCTTGCTGATTTTTTATTTATCCCGAATATTGAATACCAACGTGATTTTTAATTTGTAACTTTTTTTCGATTTTGAACTTTGACTTTGATTTTCACTTTAATTTTGACTTTGCCTTTCACTGTAACTTTGCTTTTCACTTTAACTTTGATTTTCACTTTGACTTTCACTTTGATTTCAATTTTGACTTTGATTTTCACTTTGATTTTCACTTTGATTTTGACTTTGACTTTTGTTTTGACTTTCACTTTAACTTTGACTTTGATTTTAACTTTGATTTTGACTTTCACTTTAACTTAGACTTTGATTTTGACTTTGATTTTGACTTTAATTTTTATTAAATTTTTCATGGCTAAAAGTGAAAATAAAAGTCAGAAAACAAAATGAAAAAGAAAAATTCGAAGTAAAAGTGAAATTTTATCCCTAATGTGGAAAATTTTTGTTTTTAAAAAATATTTCTTTATTGAATTAGAAAAAGGTGTGTCCCACGTATAACCTACTTGTTGTTTTGCTTCTTATAAAATGCCGAGACTTACGTAAATATAGTCTCCTCTCATACAGTGTCTTTTTTTTCTTCTGAAACAATAAAAGAGTTGGAAAATTTTTCTCACATATTTTTTTTTAAAATTGGAAAAAAAATACAATCGGACCTTGAAATTGTAACAAACGTCAAGTTTTGCCACTTTTCATAGTAAAATTATTAAGAAAAATATTATTTTTTATATAAATTATTCAAAAATGAACCGCAATTAAATATTAAAAAAAAAATGTTCTGAAAATTGTTTTTTATTCTTTCCATATCCATTAAAAATAATAAAGAGAAAAAGAAAAATAGAATGCGAATTACAAAAAGCTGATTTTAAATTTGAATTTATTTCAGAATGTGATGATTACCAAAATTTTATTTAAAAAATCAATCTATAGAAAAGCGCATAGAAAAGACATAAGTAATTAACCAAAGGATTTAAAAATGCCATAAATAGTAAAACGCATACCAAATAACACCAAAAGAGGACTAACGAAAAAGAAGAAGAAAATAAAAAAAATTAAATTTTCGTCCATTCCGTATGTAATATAATAATATAAAAATTTTAAAAATGAAATTCTATTACTTTGTTGAGAGATTAAAAAATTGAATAAATCGTGTAAATAACAAGTACAAGTGTATAAGTGTGTGATTTTGATCTTGGTGAAAAGTGTCATTTCTCTTTGGATATATAATATAAAAATTAATACACAAGATGATGAAGAAGGAGAAACCAATGATGTCCGTCACGGCCATCATTCAGGGAGCGCAGGCGCAACACTGGGCTCGAGGAAATACTTGTACGTATTTTTTTTAAAACGAAAACCAAAAAATATTTTTAAAAACTAACATCAAATTCGTAATTAGCGACACCGAAAATTCTAGAGTACAAATTTTCGGCTGTTTTTTCAGTTATTTCTAATTTTAGTTCCGCCATTTTGAATTTTTAAAAACTGACGTCGAATTCATAATCAGCGACCTCGAAAACCCCTAATTTGAAATTTTTGTCAATTTATCGTAACATTTTAATTTAAAGTCCGCCATATTGGATCCACCATTTTGAATTTTAAAAAACTGACGTCGAATTCATAATCAGCGACCTCAAAAACCATTAACTTGAAGTTTTTGGCCATTTATCGTTAATTTTTAATGTAAAGTCCGCCATATTGGATCCGCCATTTTGAATTTTCAAAAACTGACGTCGAATTCATAATCAGCGACCTTAAAAACCTAAAACTTTAAATTTTTGTCAATTTAATGCCATTTTAATTTAAAGTCCGCCATATTTAATCCGCCATTTTGAATTTTAAAAAACTGACCTCGAAAACCCAAAACTTGAAATTTTTGTCAATTTATCGTATCATTTTCATTTATAGTCCGCCATATTGAATCCGACATTTTGAATTTTGATAAACCAATGTCACTAGAATAATAACGTTTTATATAATATATTATAAATAATTATAATATTGTAATTAATATTATTTTTATTATTATTATTATTATTTTTATTTTTATTTTTATTATGAGTATTAGTATTATTGTTATAATTAATTATTATTATTATTTATTTAAACATATAAAAGGGGTTTTAATAATAATTATTATTTTTATAGTTATTTTTTTATTTTTATTATTATATTACGAATTTCGTAAAACAGTGCACAGAATATTAAAAAGAAAAAAAAATTAAGCTCTGGGTAACATGAACCCACGCAAGAAACTTGCGCGTGTTGTTAAAGGCGGTGAGCGAAGGGCATCGCAGTTCGTTGAAGATATACAATATGGCCGCGGTTCTTAATTAGAATCACATTACGGTGATCATAATAATAGAACATAAAAGAGAGATAATATCGGTAAACATTTAATATTGAAAATATTGATTTTTATATATTATCTGCTTACTCCCTTCACTGTTTCAAGTATAGGAGAATTTTTTTTTTATTTCTTTTTAATTATCAATTTGAAGAGTTTTTATTATATGAATTCAATGAAGAAAGAGGGAATTCTGATCGCGATGAATAGTAGGAATCTATAATGTATAATATTTTCTATTTTATTACATTGGTACTTTCTAGAATGAAAAGAAAGAAGGTCAGAGAGCATTAAGTAATTACATTTTTAATATAATTAGATTTCGAAATGGGTTCTTTTTGTTTTCCCCAAGGGAAGCGTGACGTTGGTAGAAATTTCAATGGGGTATAAATATTTTGTGATTTTTGAAAATAGTTTTTGAAAATTTTGAGGTTATATCTTCATTGGGGAGTTGTTTTAATTTTTTTTGAAATTTTAAACCAGCGCGCCTTTTTTTGTGGTTCGGAACTCGACCACTAGAATTATAGGAGTGACGGTTATTTTACTTGTCCTACCCAACCCTGGCGCATATATGAGAGAGAAGAGAAGAAAGATATCTTCTGTCCTTTTCTAGAAAAAGGCAAACGATATTTCTATTCTTCTTTCTCTCGTATATATAAAAATTAAAATATAAGCTTTCGATTTTTTTCTGAAAATTGAAAAGTTTTTTGTTTTTTAAACAAAGTACGAAAATAATTAAGATGAAAAATAATATTAATAAATATAAATAAATTTTTTTTATCACTCCTGAGAAAGGAAGAAAATTGCATTAACGAGATTAGCTGCTAGCCTCGAACTTTTTTGCATCCTAAATACGGTCTGATCGTTTTAAAGTGAGTCATTTTGACTCTTAGTTTTCAGTGAATCTGCAGTTAAGCAAATAAGCACAAAAAAGCGAATAAGCACAAAAAAGAGAATAAGCCCAAAAAATCGAAAAAGCACAAAAAAGCGAAAAAGCACAATAAAGCGAATAATCCCAAAAAAGCGAAAAAGCACAAAAAAGCGAATAAGATCAAGAAAGCTAATAGAGACAAAAATGCGAATAAGCACAAAAAAAGCGAATAAACACAGAAAAAACAGTGTTTAAAGTCTGATTAAGAGCAGGAGAGATGAAGGTCAACTATTAAAACGTGGATCACGTAATTTATACGCGTGTGTTACCCTTTTGCAATTACTCTGTTATCAGTACAATAACCAGAGAGCTCAAAGACTCCAAACTAACTTAAAAAGCCGATCTAGTGCTGTTTTAACGAAACCAAGGTCACTTTGCGTTATCTACACGCCCGCAGCAATTTACAAGTCTTTTCAAGCGCCTTATCGTCCAATATTACAATACTCGCTTGCAAAACTGATATTTTTAAAATACTTTTTTAAAAAAAAAAAGAAGCCAAAAGAAAATGAACAAAAATAATTTTCAAAGACAATTTCAACGAAATTTGATTACAGGAATCTGTTACCGACATTTTACCGATATTTCTCTCCTACACATTCTATCTATCCTAGACAGTTTAATTTTTACGGATTTTTGAGTATTTTTGTTGTTGTCATGGGCAGCCAAAGACAATCGCACTTTTTTGGAGATATTTTTTTACAAAATTTAATTCATTGGCTTTTTTAAAGGAAAAATTAATTTATTTGCGTCATTAATAAATTAGTGCCGCAGTTAAGGCTTTATTTTTATAGTTTTATCATTACGCGGCTTTCTCGATATTGTGGATCAATTTGAGTTCTTCATCTTGCGGTTTATTAAATTAATACGATCTATTTCCCTTGTGCATTTATAAAACGAGAATGCTAATCGTGCATATTTATAGGAGAGGCGCTGAATAATTAGAGTGACACACAATCGACAATACTTTTCTCACGATGACATGCTCGATACTGCGTTATAACGCACGTCGACGCCCACTTGTTAGACACGGCTCGTTTCCATCGTTATGACGATCTTACCTTGACTGCTTACAAAAAAAAAAAATTATCCCAATTCTATTATAATTGCTCCCAATTTGGAGGATTTGAAAAAATATTATGAATAATTGGTAAATTTTCATTTTTACGAAAATGTTTTTTTTTTATTTTTTTAAGTGACAAGCGGATTTAGATTTAATCTAGGGAATGTCATCATTAGCAGGATTCAGATCCAATGGAGCATTAAGGATTGTCGACCAGATGCGCAATTTATTGGTGGCACGCGTATGACAGGGCGTGATTCTTTATAGTGTACATGCGCGTGGTACCAACACAACATAAGCATCTCTATAACTAACGCTCAACGATGATAACCTTGGCACCGATGTGAACGAGCCATGAAGTGCAACTCTTATCATAGTGTGCGCACTTGTCTATGTATGACATTAGGTACCACTCGAGATGGACTATAAACGTAAATATTGCTATTCATCACCTTCTACAATTATTATTATTTATATTCCGAATTTCAATTTTTAAAAAATCGAAAATCTAAAAAAATTAACACAGTCAATGAAGGGGGTCCCGAAAATTTGGAAATTTAAAAAAATTATTCAGTATTTACACCCTTGAGACGATGATTTCAAATTTAATAACAATTCTCAAAAATTATAATCAAATTTTAAAAAATTCGGTTTTTCGAATTTTTGATAATTTTTAATAAATTTAAATTTTTTACAAAAGGGTGAAGACTTTTAAATAAGCAAAGTGTTTTTGAAGAGCCCAAAAATAATGAAGCTAAATGCCATAAAAGAGAAGAAAAAATGTTGAATTTTAAAAAATTCGGCTTTTCGGCTTTTTGAATTTTTAATAATTTTAAATTTTTGACCAAAGGGTGGAGACTATTAAATAAGTAAAGTATTTTTGAAAAGCACAAAAATAATAAAGCTAAATGCCATAGAGCAGAAGGAAAAATGTTGAATTTTAAGAAATTCGGCTTTTCGAATTTTTGATATTTTTAAAAAATTTTAAATTTTATACCAAAGAGTCGAGACTATTAAATAAGTAAAGTATTTTCCAAAAGCACAAAAATAATGAAGCTAAAGCCCATTAAAGAGAGGAAAAAATGTTGAATTTTAAGAAATTCGGATTTTTGAATTTTTGATCATTTTCGATAATTTTAGATTTTTTACCAAAGAGTCGAGACTATTAAATAAGTAAAGTATTTTCCAAAAGCACAAAAATAATGAAGCTAAAGCCCATTAAAGAGAGGAAAAAATGTTGAATTTTAAGAAATTCGGATTTTTGAATTTTTGATCATTTTCGATAATTTTAGATTTTTTACCAAAGAGTCGGGACTATTAAATAAGTAAAGTATTTTCCAAGAGCACAAAAATAATGAAGCTAAATCCCATTAAAGAGAGGAAAAAATGTTGAATTTTAAGAAATTCGGATTTTTGAATTTTTGATAATTTTCGATAATTATAGATTTTTTACCAAAGAGTCGAGACTATTAAATAAGTAAAGTATTTTCCAAAAGCACAAAAATAATGAAGCTAAAGCCCATTAAAGAGAGGAAAAAATGTTGAATTTTAAGAAATTCGGATTTTTGAATTTTTGATCATTTTCGATAATTTTAGATTTTTTACCAAAGAGTCGAGACTATTAAATAAGTAAAGTATTTTCCAAAAGCACAAAAATAATGAAGCTAAAGCCCATTAAAGAGAGGAAAAAATGTTGAATTTTAAGAAATTCGGATTTTTGAATTTTTGATCATTTTCGATAATTTTAGATTTTTTACCAAAGAGTCGGGACTATTAAATAAGTAAAGTATTTTCCAAGAGCACAAAAATAATGAAGCTAAATCCCATTAAAGAGAGGAAAAAATGTTGAATTTTAAGAAATTCGGATTTTTGAATTTTTGATAATTTTCGATAATTATAGATTTTTTACCAAAGAGTCGAGACTATTAAATAAGTAAAGTATTTTCCAAAAGCACAAAAATAATGAAGCTAAAGCCCATTAAAGAGAAGGAAAA